CTCTCCTCTCTCTCCCTCCCACCTCCTCCCCAATTCCCTCTCACTCTCTCCTCCCCAATTCCCTCTCGCTCTCTCCTCTCTCACTTCCTCCCAATTCCCTCTCGCTCCCCCTCTCACTTCCTCCCCAATCCCCTCGCTCTCCTCCCTCCTCCCCCTCCCCTCCCCCTCTCACTGTCTCTCTCTCTCTCTCTCTCTCTCTCTCTCTCTCACTCCTCCCTAATTCCCTCTTACTCCCTCCCCTCCTTCTCCCCTCCTTTCTCCCAATTCCCTTCTCTCTCTCCTCTCCTTCCTCCCCAATTCCCTTCGCTCTCCCTCCCTCCTCTCTCACTGTCTCTCTCTCTCTCTCTCTCTCTCTCTCTCACTTCCTCCCTAATTCCCTCTTTACTCCCTCCCCAATTCCACTCGCTCTCCCTCTCTCTTCCTCCCCAATTCCCTCTCGCTCTCCCTCTCACTCCCTCCCCCCACCTTCCCCGGACGCCCGCCCATTGCAACCACAAATCCGCCACAGTCTCTCAAGGCCTTTATTGCCGCGTCGGAGCCTCCTCCTTGACACCTATTACTGCACGCTCACTCCCCTCTTCGCCGCCGCCTCGCGTCCTCTGGCCAAACCACGCCGCTCACTGCAGCCACAAACACCTTCCCTGCAGCCCACAACCCTGCAATACCTTCCCTGCAGCCACAACACCTTCCCTGCAGCCACAACCCCTGCCAATACCTTTCCTCCTTCCCTTTCCCTGCAGCCACAACCCCTGCAAAACCTTTCCCTGCAGCCCCACGCCCGTCCCTGCAAAACCTTTCCCTGCAGCCCCACGCCCGTCCCTGCAAAACCTTTCCCTGCAGCCACGACCCCTTCCCTGCAAACGCCACGACCCTTCCCTGCAAAACTTTCCCTGCAGCCACGACCCTTCCTGCACTCCCTTCCCTGCAAAACCTTTCCCTGCAGCCACGACCCCTTCCCTGCAAAACCTTTCCTGCAGCCACGACCCCTTCCCTGCAAAACCTTTCCCTGCAGCCACGACCCCTTCCTGCAAAACCTTTCCCTGCAGCACGACCCTTCCCTGCAAAACCTTTCCCTGCAGCCACGACCCCTTCCCTGCAAAACCTTTCCCTGCAGCCACGACCCCTTCCCTGCAAAACCTTTCCCTGCAGCACGACCCCTTCCCCTGCAAAACCTTTCCCTGCAGCCACGACCCCTTCCCTGCAAAACCCTTTCCTGCCAGCCACGACCTTCCCTGCAAAACCTTTCCCTGCGCCACACCCCTTCCCTGCAAAAACCTTTCCCTGCAGCCACAACCTTCCCTGCAAAACCTTTCCCTGCAGCCAAGACCCCTTCCCTGCCAAAACCTTTCCCTGCAGCCACGACCCTTCCCTGCAAACCTTTCCCTGCAGCCAACCCCTCCCTGCAAAACCTTTCCCTGCAGCCACGACCCCTTCCCTGCAAAACCTTTCCCTGCAGCCACGACCCTTCCCTGCCAACCTTTCCCTGCAGCCACGACCCCTTCCCTGCAAAACCTTTCCCTGCAGCCACGACCCCTCCCTGCAAAACCTTTCCCTGCAAGCCACGACCCCTTCCCTGCAAAACCTTTCCCTGCAGCCACGACCCTTTCCCTGCAAAACCTTTCCCTGCATCCACAACCCCTGCAAAACCTTTTCCTGCAGCCCCACGCCCTTCCCTGCAGCCCCACGCCCTTCCCTTCCCTGCAGCCCACGCCCTTCCCTGCAGCCCCACAGCCCCACGCCGTCCCTGCAGCCCCACCCACGCCCGTCCCTGCAGCCCCACGCCCGTCCCTGCAGCCCCACGCCCGTCCCTGCAGCCCCACGCCCGTCCCTGCCCCCCACGCCCGTCCCTGCAGCCCCACGCCCGTCCCTGCAAGCCCCACGCCCGTCCCTGCAGCCCCACGCCCGTCCCTGCAGCCCCACGCCCGTCCCTGCAGCCCCACGCCCTTCCCTGCAGCCCCACGCCCGTCCCTGCAGCCCCACGCGGGACCCTTCCACCTCAAAAACGCGAGGGCGTCCGCACGGCCCTTCCTCCCGACAGATGATTTAAATTCCAAGTAACTGCTCCTTCTCGCTCTCGCTCGTTCGCTTTTTCTCTTTCTCCTTTTTCCTTCTCCTTCTCCCTCTCCCTTTCTTCTCCCACTCTCTCCCTTCCTTTCCTCTCCCTCTCCCACTCCCACTCCTCTCCTTCTCCCACTCCCTCCCTTTCCCTCTCCCTTTCCCCTCTCCCTCCCTCCCCTCTCCCTCTCCCTCTCCCACTCCCTTCCCCTCTCCCTCTCCCCCCTCTAGGTTCAATGCGACGGCACTTCCCAGGGCTTGTCGCGCCCCGGCCGGGTCCCCAACGCTCATAATCACATCAAAATTGCACGAAAACAGTCGAGTCTCCGGCGCCCACGGACTCCTCGCGTTCCCCGGCCGGGGCGAGCGGCGGGGCTGGGCCAGCGCGAGGTCCCTGGCCCTGGGCACCGCGGCTGGGCATCGCTGGCCACTCCTGGGCACATAA